TCTATGGGCAGAGCACTGATGAGGAACTGACTTTGACGAGTCAACTGAGGTGGGAGGGGGGCAGGAGCCAAGACCTAAGGTGAGTACAGCGGGGTCTTGTGGTTGAAGCAGAGAGTTAGGACGAACTCAAAATGGAGAGCTGACTAAAATTTTTCTGATCTTGGGTAATGACCATCAATATTATAGAAAACACTGTTACGTAAAAATTATAAAATATACAAATTATTTGATAAACTTCACATTTCTCTCTCAGGTGAGTACCACAAATGTCAATTTCATAATAGAATAAAAGTTTTTTTCATTTGTTTGATCTCTATTAAATCCAGAAGAAATGATTTATTGATTTTTAAAAGAAAAATATGTTTTAAAATGCCACTTATTTGCAAGGTGTTTGTGAATAGATGCGGAGTCCACATATAGTTCCAGTATGATTGTATTTACAAACAACCATTCTGAGAAGAATCAATCAAATGCTCAGAAACCTCATGGAAAGATAATAAAGTGGAAAATAATGCTATACCATGAAGTCGGTTGTTACTTATTATCAGTGCTCAAAGTCTGCAACTTATTGCTCATCAACTGAATACAGATGCATCCTAAGGTTTTGTTTTGAGTTTTCAATGCCATAAAATCTGAAGCGAAAACAAATACATTCTGAGCAGAGTGACTGAGTCCAGAAACACAAAGCTAGCCAAGACTTTCCTTTCAAACTCTGATACTTTCCCTGAAGCCAGATTGGAGAGTGTGTTCTTGCCCAGACTGTAGGTAGAAGTCTATCTAGACTCAGATGTCAGAGGGAGTTTGTTCGACACATAATACTTTCATTTGCAGGAAGATAATAACCTCCATCTTGCTTTTCTTCCTCATTTGATTAGCAGGAAATCCTCAGATGTCCTAGACCTAAGGTTTGAGTCATTTTTATGTGCCACCTCTTTGAGAATCTTTGAAATAAATATCCTAAGACATCTGCGACTTCAGGTGTAAACTTTTCCATGTAGGTAGGAGAGGTAAAAATAACAGATATTTTAATGACCTGGACTTGTATGGGAATATAATGTAACTAAAGAGGCCAGTGGACTTCCAAGTTCTCATTGTGGAAGGACAGTTTATTTAGCTTTCTAGACATATGCCTTAATCAAATACAACAATCAGCTTTTTTTATTTTGAAGAGGTTTTATACTTTTACTTGGTAGCAGACCATTGAATAGAGCTTATACAGACTTCAGACAAATTTACTCATAGTAAGCTTGTTATTATTGTCACAAAATCTTATTATGTAAAACACTACATACAAATACTGCATGACATTACATCTTACATATTTTTGTTTACATGATAATCTACAATTAATTAGTAAGTCACAGCATAGCGTTATAATGCTTGTCACCAATTTGGGTTATGGGAGCAAAGAAATCATAGAAAAGAACTCGAGGCCTGAGAATCCTCTCCCCTATACAGGAGCAAATTGCCCCTGATGGCTGGAGCTTATGACTGGTAACCGGTTACTAGAGAGGACATCAGGGGTCACTACATCTCCACAGAGATCTCCACGGTCTACTGAAGCAAGACTAGAGACACAAAATAGACAGATTTAGACAAATTAAAACTTTGTTCCTAGCTTTCTACAAGTTAAATGTTTTAGAAAAATATACCGAAGATACCTTTGGTTGAGTGTCCGGACTCTAGTATATGGGAAGTTAATTGTTATACATGAACCTAAGAAATGGCCTTGTGAGAAGAGCAGTTAGAGGATCTGCCGTCACCCACTCAGCTCTATCACTGTTTTTACTTCTCTGGACCTTGGCTTGCTCATCAGACAAATGGGTCGAACCTAGAGATTTTCAATGGGTCACTAAAGTAAAAGACAACATATATTTCTTTGTTAAAATTCAGTGAAATTTGAGAATCTAATAGCACTTTGCTGGCATGTGGTGAAAAATGCTATGAATAATCTTATTTAAATTCATTTAATATTTAAATAATGATATAAAATGTGTGAGGGCTGTGGGTTTGTTGTTGTCTGTGCTTCTACCAAACACAATAATCTTATATCTGGGTTCTTAGTAGTGACTTGGGAAACAGTCCCTTGTAACGATGCTCTTCAGACGTCTGGTCAGCTAGATATGGACTTGGGCTAGTTTCTTGTTTTCAGTTTGTGAAGTGAGGATGGATCTAGACACAGGCATCCACTTGTTCCCGTTCTATCCTTTCAACTTGTGAGGGATCAGAGAGCTTAAGTGTCTACGGGTACAACTCATCATAGTGACTGCAGCCTAGGGATCTATCAGTTCTGGGGACGTAGTCTGGGATGTTGTACTCTATTGAGATAGCTCACAAGATAAAGAGCTTGCTGCACAAGAATGAAGACCTGAGTTCATGTCTGGCACCCACCGAGGATTCAGGCACTATGGTTCTCTATGGTGAGATTCTGTGACCCGACCCAGCATAGGGCAGGGCAAAGGTAGAAGCATCCTGCGGGTTATCGATCCCAACAGTCTAGCCGAAACAAGAGCTTCAGGTTCTGTGAAAGAGCAAAAACAGAAGACCCCCAGCATTGATTTCTGGCCTCCGCACATGCGTGCCCACCATGCACTCATCCTGCCCCCCCCATACAAAGAACATAGACTCTGAATTAGTCACTGGGGTTCCATCCCAGTCCTTCTAACCACACAATACATAACCTTGAACAAGTTATTTGACCTTCATGCCTCATTTTTTTTTCAAACAACAGTCAGGCAACTCTACCTCTTAGAGATAAAACTGTAGAGTTTTTTGAACAACTGTCTGATACCAAGCAAACACCCATTACTGAACAGCTGCTATTGTTTTATTATTGTGGGATATGGGCAATGAATCTACGGGCTGGATTTTACTGTAACCCTGTTGTGACCATCTGTATGCATAATTTGTAAGGAAGGGTGGAGGGGCTCAGAAGGAACTGAGTGTGAGCGAGAAAGATGGTGGGTGTTTAAACTATTCCTCGGGGATTGATGTTTATGTCGCTCTTAAGGCTCTTTAGGGAATAAAATTACCTCTGGCTTTCAGTGGCCTAATTCAATGTCTGACAACTTCTCTCAGTCGGGAAGTTATTCCTTCCGTGTGGCTTAATTACCTATTGTTACAGCTTCAGTTTGGGGTGAGAGAAAGGATAGCCCATCTGACTGTGCCGTGCAGATGATTGACGGCTCTGCTGAAAACTACTGGGTCATACAGAGATGCTTACCATCAGTGGATGGCTTCAGGGCTTGGGTCTGTACAGTTGAGTACAGTGTCCTCTAGGCAGGGTTCTTCTCTGTGTATCTGGTAGTCACACAGTACGGAGTGCAGAGCAGGTAGCAGTTAGTAGGATCTCGTGTACTTGGTTTTGTACGTCCACCCTGTGCAACTAGAACGCGTCTACTCTGTCCGCATTTGCATGAGAGACTGCACCAGAAGAATGCATCCTCAAGATAAAGCAAGGAAAACTTGAAACTTGAAAAATTACATACCCAACTAGCCTCAGGTCTTGGTCTATTACTTAACAACGGACTCGACTGTGTGTTTAGCTACCTCCTCTTGTGGCCTTTTTGAACACGGTAGTGTGTATGTGTGTGTGCTTATATGCATATATGTAGGCAGATGGCGAGAAATTGAGGATAGCCAGTAAGATGTGCTGGGAAACTGTGCTCATAAATCCAGGAAAAAAAAATCATTGTAAAACTGGAAAAAAGGGGAACTTTGCATTTGTTTGGGGGAATATTCTTAAGCCATCTTCACATGGGTGGGCCTATGGGAAATGATAGGGACTTTTTAGCTCTATGAGATACAATAGGTTGACCGTGAATGGAGCCAAGGTTAGGAGGAGAACCATTTGGTACACCTTGACTTAATGAAGTAGATTTGAAGGGATATTAACCTAAATAAAGGGGTGAGTGTGACTGGGTACAGGAGGTTGATTTCTGTGGAGTGCTATAGAGGAAAGAGCATGGGAAGTTCCTTCACCTCTTCAAATCCCAGCTTGGGCTTGTCGCCCTGACAAGCTTGTTCAGCTCACTGAACACTGTATCCCAAATCCTCATCTCCAGTAGACAGCTAGTACTGCCCTGACTTGTAAGGACTGGCCTTTGAGGTGGTGGCCTCTGGAGTTTGGAAGGCTCAGCAGGAAACTCCTCCACCAACCCGACTCTAGGTTATAGTACCAGCCCTTTCCTCCAGGGGAGCAAACAAAACTGCGTTCCTGCTGGCCCCCTGCCCCGTGTCATGTGCAAACCATCCGGGTTTCTTCCCACAGCTTGTGCTCAACTCTGCTGGAGGTAGATGTGTCGATGGTTTTCCCTGCTAGGCCAGTTATTTTGGTGGAGACAGTTAAGGTCCCTCTGAGCTTGGTCCTGATGCTGCGTGATGTATTGTGCTGCATGCTTTACATCATTCCTTCGCCCAATCCTTAGCAGCCACCATGAGCAGTTTCGTGGCAGGTTCGTTGTACAGACAAGGAATCTGAGTTTTGGCATGGATAGGACTCGTTGATTCATGGGTTCGTTGTGTGGCTCTATCTAAGATTGATTGTTTGGATATGAGATGAATCTCGATGCCATTCCCTGCTGGCCACTTAAAAGAAAGCCCCAAATCAGCTTTATGTGTAGCACATCTACAAAAACAAAACAAAACAAAAAAAACAAAAAAACAAAAACAAACAAACAAAAACGAAACCTTTTCCCCCACGTCTTTAACTGAAAACCCAAATCTCCATCTTCTCCAACCTATGTCTCAAGGATTTGCTAAGCCAAATGCAACTAGATTCACTGAAATGATGCACTAACCACGCAGTCTCATTCTTCTCCCTCGTTAAACGCCAGTGTCAGCAGTGTCCCTTTGTTGCTGAGGGATGCTTACTATAAGTGCTCAGTACATTTGATTGCATGAGTTAATGAGTGAGTGTGGACGGAGTTAGCAGATGGAGCAATAACACTGCAGAGTGCTCACCTTCCTTTGTGGAACTATCTGATGTCCTGTCTTTCCAGGGTGGCATGATCGCTCTGTTGTTATCCATCTTGTGCCTGGTGATGATCCTGTATACCCGCAGGCGCTGGTGCAAACGTCGCCGCGTGCCCCAGCCCCAGAAGAGTGCCAGTGCGGAGGCAGCCAATGAGATCCATTACATTCCATCTGTGCTGATTGGCGGCCACGGGCGAGAAAGTTTGCGCAATGCCCGAGTGCAGGGACACAACTCCAGTGGCACCCTGAGCATCCGGGAGACACCCATCCTGGATGGCTATGAGTATGACATCACAGACCTGCGTCACCATCTGCAGAGGGAGTGCATGAATGGAGGCGAGGACTTTGCCAGTCAGGTCACACGCACCTTGGACTCCCTTCAGGGCTGCAATGAGAAGTCTGGGATGGACCTCACACCAGGTAGGAATGGGGGAAGGAGTCGGTTCATTTAGTCCTTGCTCAGGTAGGCTGGCAAGCAGCTAGCTAACAGATAGTATGTAGCAAAATGTACCGATGCCTTTCCTCAAGTGGGCAAAAATAACCTTTTGCATAGACTCCACCCCACCTGAGGAGCTATTAGCAATTAATGGCTCCTAGGAGAAGAAAAGCCAGTTTTCTTCATGAGTGTGAACCTGGTTGGTTGTCTTGCTCCTGTGGATAGTCCTACACTCATATGCATGTAAGCAAGCACCAACTAGACTTAATAAAAATTTCTATTAAGAGGACATTAAGTATGTGGGGGGACATAGGAGGAGTAGGAATGGGACATGAGGGGTGGGTCTGATCAAAATACATTGTATACACTTGTGAAATTCTCAGACTTAATAAAAAAACACCCTGTTTTCTTAGACAGCTGGTCTGGTTTTCTAATCCATAAAATTAGAAGTATAGTATTAGCATAAGTTGGGTCCACTTACACTTCCACCCAGTACTGGGAGCAGAGAGATGCCTTTAGGTGTGGTAGAAGTGTTCTAGAGCCTCTAAGTGTATACTGGGAAGCCCCCTAGGAAGTGAGGCAGTGGCCTGGGAAACTAACCTGGCGTGACCTCTTTGTATATCACATATTTGCACAGACAACTGAATTCTTTAGTGACAAGGAGGATCCTCAGCTACCAATTTCTTGTTTCGTTTTGTTTTTCTCTCTGCCTCCTAAGATGTGGGGCCTTGAGTCTTCTAATTACATGACTTTACCCCTGCTTCTGTGGTCTCTACACAGGATGCATTTTCTTTCAAAGAAAATGGAAGACTGCAATCAAAGCATCAGATCTTAGATGCTAGACATATCTACAGAGACAGTGGCTAGAAGAGCCTTGGCCCTAACTCAACAGAACAAGATCAGGGTCAAAAACATGCAGAGAGGGAGGAACGGTTCTTTTATGATAGCCCACGTCTCTCCCTTTCAAACTGCTATGAATCAGTACATCTTGAAAGAGAACACCTCAACAGTGATCCTTCAAGGCACTGCCCAGTACCTTCCTCTTTGAGGAAGACACATTTGATATTGCATACTGCTAAAGATGCACAGACTCTGGGAGAGGTGGCAAAGGTTAACATCACGTAGTGGGACATGGAAATTCTACTTGGCATCTAGAAGATGACCTGTATCAATAATCATTTCTTAATACGACTTAAAGTCTGAGAACTTCAATGTCTGAGAACTTTGAAGTCTGAGACTAGAAAGGAGGAGTCTCCAACATGTATGATATTCCCCATAGCGCTGGGCAGAGTACCAAGGCCATGGACTCCACATACGGTACTTGGGGGTTCAAATCTAAACTCCTTTAGGGAGTAGACAGACCACACAGATGTATGCAGTAGCTAGAGTTCAGTCATGAAGGAACGGTGAAGACCGAGATGAAAGAGGGGCCACCTTCTGTCTGAAGGCACATAGATTCTCTTTCTGCTAAAACCCTCTGCTGGTCAGAGGAAAAACCCTGCATTCTACATTTAGCCAAAGGCTGGCAAGCAGTGACGTTATCAATACGGAATTAACTCGATTGGATTTCCAATTGTAATCCTCTTACTTCACTCCTCTCTTAATGTCATAGTCCCTAGAAAGCAGAGAGGAATGTCTTAGCTTCCACCCGCCTCTCATTTTCTATATTCCTCGCGTCAGTGCCCTGGGCCCATCTACCCAGCTCACGTGGGTTTTCTCACTTTCTTTCATGCTTTGCCTGTTCTCTTAAGGTTTTCTTCCCCCTTTGTCTTGACTTTACCTTATACAGGAAGCGACAATGCCAAGCTGTCCCTGATGAACAAGTATAAAGACAATATCATAGCCACGAGCCCCGTGGATTCCAACCACCAGCAAGCCACTCTGCTCTCCCACACCTCCAGTAGCCAAAGAAAGAGGATTAACAACAAAGCAAGAGGTAGCCATGTCTAGTTCTAAGTCTGCGGATGGGTTCCAAACTGTGGGGAGAGGCAAGGTCATTAAACCAGCTCCACATACTGCCACACATAGCTACAAAGGCACAGTCTTCTGGAGGCCAAATAAAAGCTACTTGCCACAAAATGTAAGAGTGGAAATCTTTTAATTAAACATCTTTATGAACATGAGTAGTTCCTAGGAACTAATTGAACAAGGGTGCAAAGATGTGTGTAAATGGCTGTTTACCACATTTAAACAAGCCAAAAGTTGGAAAAGGTTTAGATGCCCACCAACAGGGAACTGGTTAACTATCTGGCACATCTGCTAATGTCCAGTGACCTAGCATGCAGCCATTTAAAATGATCGTATAGATCTTTATTTGTTAATATGGAAAGCTGCCCGCCCATCTACTCAATGGGGAAAATGAGATTATGATGAAGATATGGCACAATTCCATTTCAAAGGGAAATTAAAAGCTCTTTACCTGCTTCAGTATCAGAAATAGAATGAGAGTATATGGGTATATATTTATCAAATGATCAAAGTATTTGCCTATGATTTAGAGGGCTTGAAGGAATGCTCCCTGCTCGCATGGCTATCTACCTTATTTATTCTTTTTGTATATATGTACATATTATTAAATCAGTGAAAACTCAGAGGTTAAAAATGTCTTTCCTGTTCTGATGTAATTCTGGTCTCCTGTTAACCTGAACAAAACATTTCCCTTCTTTTCTTCTCCACCCCTGACCTCTCCAAGTCCTCTTTGACAAGCAGATGTCAGACAAGCCCCTCATCACAGAGCCATGTTCTGTATGAAGACTGGAGTGTCATCAATTGCTCTCAAAACTGCTACTCCAACAAACTTAGACACTGAGAAGCCCTAGCCCCTCAGCTGCCTCTCCTAGATTGTTCATGGACCACTCTCATTTTTATTGACTTTCCAATTAGACCCCACCCTATGACTCTGCATTGCAAAAAGAGAAAATATCTACTCTGATTCTCTATCCATTTCAGCTGGTTCCGCCTTCTTGAACCCTGAGGGGGACTCTGGCACTGAGGCAGAAAATGACCCACAGCTGACCTTTTATACGGACCCCTCTCGGAGCCGGAGACGCAGTCGAGGTAAGAATGATGGAGCGGGTGTGAGCATGGTGCAGGTGGGGAAGGCGGGGACCATAGAGGGCTCTGTGCACTCAAGCCAGCATCACCAGGAAGAAAGCTTGGATTGCAGCCGGTGCTTGCTCCCAGGAAGAAAGAAGAGCCTAGAGTCCAGTGAGAGCGAGAATCATCTCTCCTAGAAAATGGCACTCTCAAACAAGTTTCTAAGTTGTTTGAAAGGCTGTTTCTTGGTCAGAAGACTCTCAATTCCTTCTGGAAGACTCGGCAGTCATGTTTTGCTATTCAGAGAGACAAATGAAGTGGGTGAAGTTTGTTAAACGAGTAATCGGTGTACTCCTCATCAATTCAGCTGCATTGGTCTTGGGATCGAGCTGGGATAGAAGGGTATAGCCAGTAAAGGAATTATCTAGGAGTTTTCTTTAACCTTTAAGTCTCTACTCAGTACAGTCTTGAGACCTAAGCCTCCAGACCCCTCATTTCTCCTGGCACAAGTTAAGGAAACTGATTTGTTCTTCGCATTGGCTTAATTGTGCTTCTGTGCAGTAGCTGTATTTATGCTGCAGACTCATCCTTAGTGACCTCAGAGATGACTCTCAGTGCTGTAGGCACCACTGTCCACTCCTCCTGGTGTTGCCCTTACCTCTGAGGGTGCTCTACAGCTGAACAACAATGAACCTCAGCATCTACTTGCTGTGTGGTGTTGCATAAGGACACAGCTCCTCTGAGCATCCCTTCTCGCACAGACTGGATGACTTACTAGTAACTCATACATATGGCTTCTGTGAGGATTACATCCTTTGTTTATTTTGGCAACTGATAAAGTATATGAAATCACCATTGCTGCTTGCAGATCTTTCCCAATGTAGTCTACAGCTTTTATAGAACCCCATCTTGGAATATATTGAACAGACTCCCCTTGAGATACTGTGGAGGATACATGAATGGCATCAACACTGTCCACTTTGTGTGGACAGAACTCAGTAGCGTTTCCAGCCAATACCTATCTAGTAGCTTTCAGAACATACACATTTTGGCTGAATCCTACCTCTATTCAAACTCTCTTCACACAGAATACATTCTTCCCAGAAACTGCAAAGAAAGAAGGCGTTTTCATTCTGTATTCCAAAGTCTGTAGGCTTCCCAATCTTTAACTTTTGAATTTTTCTTTCTAATTTTTTTTTCCTGAAAAGCCAGTGGGGCTCTTAATCATCTACCTGTAAATGTTTCCTTTTCCCTGAAGTGGGAATGCAGGTGACAGTATCTCTCTCTCCCTTGATCCTCAAAACATTTTATAGAACAGACACACGATCTAGGCTGTACCAAAGTAGGCGTGTCTTACTCCACTAAAGACTTACTGGAGAAGGTTCCTGGTGATGAGTTATTTTCTTTAGAGCATAAAATGATTTGTTTCTTTAAATTCCAAGCCCCTGTAATGCATCAACTGTCTACTGCTATTAACTAAACTATAAGTGGCTCAGGGGCGGAGCAGCCCTAATTATTTTTTCAAAGTGCCTACTAAAGGATTTTACCTATAATGCATGTGTGTAAATGCCTGCTTAATTGGACTGGGTACATCAATCAGACCAACAAAAGCATCTTCTAACTTACCTCCTCTGGGTCAGCCTCTGTGATAGGTAGTGGAAACAAGAAAACATGGCACAATGATAAGGCTTCCTGTAATAATATAAATAAATAAAATGAGTACTCAGAAGCGATAACACTTAATTCCACATGGCAGCAATAGGAGGCAATAAAGAAGAATTAGAACTGAAATATAGGCAGTGCATAGGATGTCTTGAAAAAGAAGTCTTGGGTAAGAGCATTTCAGTAGAGGAATGCAGTACATAAAAAGCTCGGAGGACTCCAAGAAATGTGGCTGTCAAGGAAGTGAGGGAGATGGCAGCTCTAGCCAGGGTATAAACATAAACATAGAGGGAAGGTAGGGGTGAAGCCAGAGAAGAAGCTAAGTACCAAAGCAAAGACCTGGCAGGCTATTGCAATTGCGCTTCCTTCTGCAAATGAATAGGAAACCATTGGAAAATTCAAAGGCAGTCAGGGATGCTAGATTGTGGGTTGATGATGCACACAGAGGAAAGGGACAGAAATATCTGTTTCTAGTTATTGCAATCACGGGAGAGCAGTGGCAAGTGCCTGCAAACAGGGATGACATCGTGCGCTAAGAGCTGTAACAGCAGGGTGCACTGAGGGCTACAGGGGCAGGGATGAGTGAGAATCTGTTCTTGAAGGTTTCAGGGAAGTGTTTTCGGGAAGTTATTGTTTGAGCTGAGTCTGGAAGGGTGTGGACTGGGATGACAAGGTGACAAAATGGCCTTCTGTGGAAAGGAGATAATATGAGCAGAGTCACTGGCATGGAAGGGATGGTCTGGTGAGAAAGCTGAGAAACAGCTTTACTACGGTAAAGTCTAGGGTGCGTGCTTGTGGTGGTATAGAAAAGGAAGCTGAAAGACCGGCAGAATCCAGGAAGCTGTGACCCTGTTGTGACGTCAAGTCTTGGACTGCTGTGTTAGCTTGTCAGTTGTGCTATGTGGAGGTCTCCTCTTGAGGCAGTAGAGATGCTAGCTGAGAGCCAGGGGTGTATCTATGAGGGGGAGACAGATACTCCCCAGAATCCTAAGGTAAGATGAGAGAATGGATATGAAAGTTTAAACAAAATGAAGACACACACACACACCTTGGCGGTGAGAAAGTGTGTCCGGTGAGCAAGCCGGGAGAGAGCTGGGCATAATGAAGTTGTTTGAATTGAGAACTGGAGAATGGAAATAGGTCAGGAAGCTGGGTTTTGAGAAACGTGATAGGTATAGTTTGGGACACGTGGTATTTCGGTGCTAGAAGGTATTGACTATGGTGGATCTGCTTCAGAGGCTGGGCTGGGTGGATCTTTAAGTTTGAGCAATTGGACTCCATGCTGAAAAGATCCCAGTGTGAATAGCACCTTTCCAACTCACAAGAACCAGAGGTTATTGGCAGCCTCTGCATTTCATCCTCCCAACAGCCCTCTCCACAGTCCCTTGGGAGAGCCCACACACTGATAGATGGGTGGTCTTGAAACCCACACTCATCCCCGTGTTTCCTGAGAGCAGCAGTTCCAAAGGCTCTGTCCTTTATAGAGAGTTGGCTCTGGATTCACTCTGCAGCCTCTTATGACAGCTACTTCATGAAGCCTTATTCAATGGTGTGAGCCCTGTAGAACTCTGAGCACAGGTACCTGACACATAATGACCATTTCGTAAGTGTTAGCTGTCACAATTAGGGCCTCTACTTGAGACTTATTTCCCTCTTCTGCAAAGTAGACAGTCCCTCTCCAGGCTCACAGGTGTGTATTATGAACAGACAAGGATTTACCAGAAAATAATGTACAAAGAAACTTAGCACAGTTTCCTCCCCTAACTGGACTTACATTACTATTAATAATAAATATTAACATAAATAAGAAAATTCCAGGAAAAACTATACATTCCATTGCCTTGCTTTCTCACCCTCCCACATGTATCCTGCCTCCAAGTGCCATCCCCTTCATCATCCCTCTTCTTGCCACCACTTCATCTAAGAGCAAGAGAAAATCCAGTCCCCCCAAATGAGCAAAGTAAGCTCTTGCATTTCCATCCCTTCCAGTGGTGTCTGGATGGAGGAGAAGATTCTGGTGTGACAGCATCATTGCACACCATAGAAGAAGTGCATGCTCTTCTACTGGGGGAGGTTCCTCCTGGAAGCCTGGGTTTACATTGTGGGAGCCTGGCTTTAGAGCACCCTCTGCAAACAGCAACGGGATTGCACTACAGCGATTAAACTATTTTGCCTCCAAGAATTTTGAACTCAGCTAGGGAAGCAGAGGGAGAGATGTCCTCTTTGTGTCCTCTTGTGAGTCTGACCCAGTCAAATCATAGAGAATATGCACTCAGCTCACCACTACTGACCTTGAAGGCCACCAGGTGGTCAAGTTCACTTTCTCTTCAACAGGTGATGTCCCCAATGAAGCTTCCTGAGGCCACATAGTGGAGATATTTTCTGATGGCTGGGAGTTAGGTTTACCAGACACGCTTGTTTGCCAGTAGAAGGTCAAGTCAGACAGTCAGTGCTGGGATTTTTACCACCGTGTCCTGTTTTTGTCTTGCTTTCAGTGGGCTCTCCCCGAAGTCCTGTGAATAAGACCACCCTGACCCTGATCAGCGTCACCAGCTGTGTGATTGGCCTCGTGTGCTCCTCGCACGTCAGCTGCCCTCTTGTTGTCAAAATCACCCTTCATGTCCCCGAGCACCTGATCGCTGATGGTGAGCTCATTCTGCCGAGAAGATGACAGCTTCTTCAGTCGGCAGTTTTTAGGCTGGGCAGAGGACAAACCAAATAAGGGCCACTGTCGTGGGGAAGAGGGATGTGCTCCAAACAGGAAGGAAGAGGATACAGTTAGATTGTCCACCGATGACCTAAGAAATTGAGCTAATAACTAACTGAATGGGTCATCTCCGTTTCTCTACAACCATAGAAATGCAAAGCACACTGGCTACAGGTGGATAGATGCCACAGTCCTTTAGTACTCGAGGAAGGAAAAGCTAACTGGGGCAGTCGAGGTGTGTAAGGCTCAGCCATGCTTTGGTTTGCTTTGCCCAGGTGAGAGATTCTGAGAGTCCCTGAGTCATTTAAACCCAAAGCACCTAATTGACTTGTTAATGTCTGTTCTCTGGTTGCTGCAAGGCTGGAAGCAGGTGGGGATGTTCACAGCATCCGGGGACCTGCTATTTCAGGGCACACCATGACAGGCAGTGGGTCACTGTTACCTGACCCAGTGCCAACACCTTGTAGCTAAGTCTGATGGAGCCATGCCATGGTCACCACAGAGCCACTCTGTCCCTCTATCCCTGAGGAACACTCCAGCAATATGGGACGAGGCACAGCAATAGGGGAGGATATAGCTGGAAGGTTTAATATCTCTGGCCTCCCAGCAGTCATTGTGAAGGCAGAACCTCCATCTGCCAGTCCCTCGTACTAGTACTAATGGTAGGCAAGGGCTGGTGAGTGTAATGGTCCTGGATTAGAACACGCTTATCTCTGATGACTTGCGCCTATGTATTGTGTGTGCATCTGCAGACACGTTTCTTCTCTGTCACCCTGTAGGGAGCCGCTTTATCCTGCTGGAGGGAAGCCAGCTGGATGCCAGTGACTGGCTGAACCCTGCCCAAGTGATTCTCTTCTCGCAGCAGAACTCCAGTGGGCCCTGGGCCATGGACCTCTGTGCCCGGCGGCTCCTGGACCCTTGTGAACACCAATGTGACCCCGAAACTGGTAGGCGGGAGCACCGGGAAGCGGGTAACTGTCAGAGAGAGCATGCCTTTTGCAATCACTCCCTTGAAACTCAAATCATTTCTCCCAATTCCACTGCCCCCTTTCCATTTCATGAGTAGACCGCCCATGGATATCACCATGTGTTGAGCCACTGAGCGTAAAAACCTGCAATAGTCTGGCAGGAGCCTGGACAAGATCTTAATTGCAGCCTTATTATAAAAAGGACAGTTTGGAACAACCTCCATTGCCCATTTTGTCATTATCTACCTACTGGGACTAGCCATTTTATAATTGCAAAATTAATTCATGTTTATTATTAAAGTAGTATAGAAGGAAATGATAATCATCTGTATTTCTGTCTCCTAGATAAATCACTTTAAAACTTTTTATGTCCTTTCTTTCCAACACTAGCCAATGCATATTTTTAAAAAGATTTCCTGGAAGCATAGGAAGTCTAGCTGAGTTTTCCTGAATTTGTATCCTTAATATTCCGTCGTATGAATTTTCCATAATTATAATCCTCAGTAACATTTTAATGGCCATTTGCTGTTGCATTGGGCATTTGTATCCCAGCTCATTTAAACAGTCTCATTACTTTAAAGTTAGAAAGCTCTCAATTTTTTGTTTTTATAAGTACTATTAAAACAAACCTCTCCACAAGGAAATGTAGGGCACGTGGGACATTATTTTTTTTCCAAAGAATCTTAGAGATAGATCACTGCACAAAGGCTGTAGACATATTTAAGTGTGTTACTCCATCAAGCAAGACAAGGGTAGTTCTGAGGAAGGCTCAGATTCAGGTGGTGTGAAGTGCAGCTGCTGCCTTACCCCAGGAGCATGCGTGCTCGGGAGCCTGGGTCTCTATGCCAGAAAGATGTATACTTGCGTGGCGGGAAAGGGTTTACTCTTCTGGTTATCACGGCAGAATATCTAACAGAAGCAACTTAGAGGAGAGAGGATCTATTTTGGCTTGTAGTTGAAGGGAACACAGTCCATCATGACAGGGAAGGCTTGGTATATGGGGTTTTGCCTGTGATGGAGGGGAGTGGTGGCATGGCTTATTACATCTTTACGGACCAGAAACAAGCTCTCACTGGAAATGGAGCTGGCCTAGAACCTTTAAACCTCTTCTCCTATGGCCCTATACCTGCCAGCTAAACTTCCTGTCCAAAAGTTTCCACAGCCTTTCACTGCCACCAACTGGGGACTGTGTATTTAAACACGGAAGCCTATAGACAAAATTTCACATTCAAACCATAGTAAGAGGTTCATAAAGAGTGGACTCTACACAAAGACCATTTTCAGGAACTAGAATATCACAGGTAGAATTTCCCTGGAGAAGTGGTGCAATACTAAGCAATAAAGGAAGGAGTCATGAGCCAAATCCTCAAGATCTTTGTCTACCATGTTTAACTCTGGAAAGAGAGGCAGGGTGTTCAGCAAGGACTTTCTACAGATGTGTTCCAAGATATACAATGTGCATTTTTGGTACTTTATTATTAAATCTCTCTGAGAAAGTAGCAGGTAACTGTGACATCTAAAGTTCATGTTCTTAGGTTTTAAACTTATTTTACGTGGGCCCATGACAGAGATTCTAGGTCCCCATATGGAGGAGAAAGTACAGCACTTTCAACATCTGATGTCTAAGACGGTGCTTACTCGCCGTTCCTCCTACGCTGTCAAGGCAAACACCAAACCAAACAGATGGGCTGTGTACTGTGCCCAAAAGCTAGCGTGCTTGGAAGAAATTAAAAAGAGCTTGTCTCAGAGGTGGGAACTCTCCATGAAGCAGAGCTGGCCTCTGGTACCCTTGTTCTCCAGCTGGTTAGGATTAGGAGGATTTGGGACAATCTTAGCTGTTAAACTCACTTCTGAGAGCAACGAGAACTCCAGAGAACCTAGCATGCTTCCTTTTTGCCTTGAAAGGAAATAAAGGGCCCACAGTTACATGTGGAAAGTAGGGGACTGGGTGTTCTATGCTTTGGGAGGATTGGACACCAACCACCTTCTTACCTTACCTAATGTTTGATTATCTGGGCCTAATTTGCCCTAAGTCCCTTGGCTACCTACAAGGAGAATTTGTCTATAACCTTTCATGAAAGCAAGCAGAAATCAGGTTATTGAAGGTAACATAATATGTCCAGATACCCACTCCAATCTGTATGTCATTCAGCTCTTTAGGATGTAACCTATACTAAGCATTCATTCCTGATGGGTGTGCCAGGAAGTTGTTGTCTGTATCAAGGAAGTCTTCCTGTCTACCCTTCAGCCCCTTCCAGATATAGAACTTCTAATCCTTCCTACAAAATGACTTCGGGAAGCACCTCCCTTGCAAATGGTTTCCTGGTATCTGTGATAACCAATGAATTCCCAACTAGAAAGTCACAAGGGTGCTAAAAATAGGAACCCAAGGCCTGCACCAAAGCTAAGGTAGGACATCTCCATTTGGTGTGGCAGCTGAGAAACGATGCTGTGGAACCTCTCTTTTTCATTAACGCTGGAATTGGAAAACCCCCCTCCCGTGCTGCCTCTCTCTGCACATGGAATGATGTGGTCATCCCACACGCTCATCACTAAGAAACTTTATCGCCTCCCACACTCCATCCTAGAGCCTTTCTCCAAAGAGCTGAGTGTGGGAATTGGCTCCAAGTCAAGGCGACGTTATTTTTTGCAATCCTCCAGCTAGCTTACTTGGAAATGTCAGAGTGTTGGGACATGCGCTTTCCCAGCCGAGCTGAGGGTCTGCCCATATGGATTTATAGGGCTGTGCAAATGCACTTGTGTATTTTTTTCACGCAGACACACGTACCCATAAACACACAAGCACACAAACACAGATGCTCAGGCAATGGGAAGGAGCAGCCTTTGGTGCCTGGAGCTCCCCTTAGGCAGCCTTCCTAAAAGTGTCCCAAATCTACATGTGTATTTAGACATCATCTGCACAGGACTCCACAACACCAGGTGTGAGAGACAGAAACGTGGACTCACTCCACCAGATGCCCACATCCCCCTTCCCACAATCTGTAGGTGTGTAATGTTGCATGCCAAAGGAAGGTAAAATGGTAAATAGAACTGAGGTTGCCTAACAGCTAGTGTTACAAAAGCAAGATTACCCTAGATTATCTGGGTGTCCCAATTAAATGACAATACTTCTTCAAAGTAGAAGGGAGAACAGGTCAAAGTACCATGATGAAAGAATGGTTCATCAAGGTATTGTATACTTTGAAGATGAAGGACGAGTCATGAACCAGGTGTGCAGGCAGCCATTAGCAGGGGGAGAAGCAAGGAAGCAGATTCTCGCTCATAGCCTCTGGAAAGGAGCATAACTCTGTAGAGACTTACTCTGAAGGCACTTTGATCTTAGCCCCAGAGAACCCATATTAGTCCCTGCTGGCCTATACAGGCATGACACAATGATATTGCTTTAGACACTTGAGTTTGAGATGGGCTACAAATACACCAAAGGAAGAACAAAAGAGCTAAAAGAGAGAAATGGGTTGTGTTCCCCCTTTTCCTATACCCCCATCATGATCTCAGAACTCCTAAAGATGTGGGGGGGGGGGGCTACAAAAGTACCAGGGCTATAGGAAACTTGCTGGGTTATTTCAGTTCCAGCCTTCCCCTCCACTGACACCGTGTTACATGAGAGGGGTGGAGCTCAGAGACCAGCCTGGACAATAGTAAACTGCCACTGGCAAATGTTCTAATCATCCCAGAACTGGTTATGCGTGGGTGGGCTTGAGAAAGTAGAGACAAGACGTTTGTACCTGCCACCTGCAGCTTCGCTGAGGACAGTAATCCTCTTCTAGCAGATACCAACTTGTGACGGGTCAGTCCTAGGACCCGGGTAAGGGAAGATCTAGGATGCTTTTAAGTTCTGTTCAGACTGCTGAGGACTTCGCACAACAGACTGTGGTCTATCTCCCCACCGCTTTGTAATGACAGGTGGGAAATGATTGTGACAAGAAAGCATGCTAGGCAGTGTTTATCATGTTGTCACCAAGCTTAGACAATCAAAACTCCTTCACAATACTACAAAGTGACAGTATTTTTATCCTCACTTTAGAGTGTATTGCCAAACTTGCCTAACCACTGCCTAGTTAATAGCCCAGCTGAACTATAAGCTCAGGGTGCATGCTATACCAGAATTCACAAGTCTGATCATTTTACGATGTTTCTCCTAATGTTGCCTTTCTGGAAGGGAACCTAGATGGTAGGCTTAGGATTCTTCTCTTTCTTTCTTAGTGACTATTGAAAGCCTCAGTTTCTGATGAGGCCTTTTGCCAACTGCCAGTCTTCTTGTCCACCCTGCCAGACTGTCCTCTCAGGAGCATCTCTGAGACAGTGACAAAGCCTTAAGTCTGTGGAGTGTGGTGTCTACTGGGTCCCATCTAAGGCTGATGTTTCCTGTGAGTTCTAAGGGGAACACTTTGCAGTTGTTTGTTTTCATTTTGTCTGCTGGCAGCAGACTACCTAGCTGCATTGGCTTCCTCCTTGCTTGTTCCGAGCCTCTGCTCTGCCATGTGCACAGCAGCCGAGGCCGAGACACCTGCTTCACTTCTCAGCCACATCAGTTCTGGCCACAGCCTCCATTGCCTTTTTCAAGCTTTGCAGTCTTTATTATTTTTTTTTTAAATGTGTGCAAGGAGCACAGGCGTACATGAAAACTCAAACTTGGCTGTTTTAGTATCTATCTAATATGTCTTCCCCAGATCCCTAGTTTCCCAGATCTTTCTATGGCCTATGGCTGACATGAACAGGTCAAAATGTATCATGCTGCTGAGGGGCACCGGCCAGGTTTCCAGACAACTCAGCCTCAGCTTCTCTGCTTGTTTTGAGCCACTGTGTTCCCCCCTCTCTACACCCCATCTCTTTCTGTCTCAGGCACTTTTTCACCCAGTTAATCAGGAGAGCTCAGCCCCCATTTTGTTTCTATAACCTAGAGTGTACACTCATTCCCAGTTCATGTCTGTAGCTCCATCAAAACCTCCTCTTCCTTCAGGGTGAACTTCAGCATGTTCCAAGTCTTCTCTCTCAGTTTCCTGGGGGTTGTTCAAACCTGGGCCTGCCCCTTTCCTGCTAACGCCCAGTTGTGGGGGATTATTAGGCAATTTGGTGTTATCCATGTCCAGACGAACATTTCTCTTTTTAGACAAGGGACAGCCAGTCCTATTTAATAAAAGCCAACCACTACTTGAAGCAGTGTAATGACTCAGGGCTTCTGGCCTTAATTTGGTTTTATAATAAAACAAACTGTGGTGAACACAGTCAACCCAAGGAACCTTTGCTTCAAGGCCTTTCTTAATTCTTAGATGAGATTGTGTGACTCAGTCCTTCAACTGTAAAAATGAGCAAAGGTTCTGCCTGTTCACCATGAAAGGCAGCTCAAGGTGTTTATCCCCAAGGTACCAAGCAAAAGTAGGTATGGAGGTCTCTATCCCCTGTGCCAACATCTTGCCGTGGGCTTTCTTCCCTGACAGTGTGATCCACAAAATAGCTCCTGCAGCCGCTGTGACGTGTTACTCTCTTCTTGCTGGGCACTTTTCCGTGGCCATGACATGTCTCTCTGTTGGATTCCTATGTACACCGCCACAGCGTCCGCGCCTCATGTGTTCCCTGCCATCTGTCACAGCAGATGCGGAGACTGTAACACTTTGGTTTAGGAGGGCATCCAACACCCTTGTGGGGTCTTTAAAATTCACAGCTAACAGTCGGAGTCTGTGCTTACACGAAACCCCTCTTAAAGTCAAGATTTAGCAGTTGGTTTCCATAGTAACTTTCCTCATCAAGTCTGAACTCCTTGAAGTATAGATGGCCAAACTGGATTGAGGAGGAATAAAGAAGAGGGAAGTTCGGTGGATTCTAGAAATGAGGTTCTGTTGAGAGGCAGATCTTGGATATCCCCAAACTCTAGCCTGGTATGTTTGAAAATTTCTGATTCTCTGACTTTGGGTGGCATATGCCATTATGTGGAGAAAAGCTTTATCTGTTGTCAGCAGTATGTCCCCACATGGCAATAAGTGATGGAAGCCTCATGTGGAGATAATGACCACGAAAGCAATTTGAGAAGGTAAATGCGCTACACAAATGGTAGGTATTTACGTCATTAGGAAAATAGGTCTCTGCTTGAACCTGGAGTTGTTAGTGAATTTATTTTTACATGTTTTGTGGTAACCAAATACCAAATGTAGAAGAAGCTTCTCTTTCTTGTTAATCCTTAGTTCTAGACAAGGTGTCCAGCCGAGAATATTCCTGTTCTGTGTTTGTTTTTGAGTCAGAGTCTCATACAGCCCGGGCTGGCCTTGAAATCACTCTATAGCTGAGGACGACCTTCAGCTTTTGAATCTCCTGCCTCTCCCTCCCAGGTGCTGGGATGAAAGGCATTCTCTACCATGTCTAGTTTGTGTGATGCCCAGGATGAAACACAAGGTCTCATGCATGCTGAGCAAGTATTTTACCAATGAGCTGCATCCCCAGCTCCAGTTGAGACCATTCTGGGAATCAGAATGTTGTGCTCAACACTCTCTTATGGTTACATCCTGTTTACTAGCATTCTATTCATGCCTAATGGCAACAAGGACAACCAGAAGAATATAAAAGATATATTTGAGCTATTAACTTGTTAATTGACTTAGATACATACATACATACATACATACATAAATATATCTTTATACTTGGGCTGTTGTTTATTATAAACCAATTAAATTTTTATTTACTTTTTTCTTCCTATGTATATTATGATATATCCTGTGTGTGCACAAGTACACACTGTTGTGCTGACTTATATATGGGTGCAGGGGATCCAAACTCAGGTCCTTATAGTTGAGCAATACATACTCTACCACTGAGCTGCATACTTAGGCTAAACATTTTAATGATTTAACTTTGAACCGTAATTTGATGGTTAGTATTGATTGCCAGCTTCCCAAGACCTTCATACTCATGGAAGAAGGAAGCCTCTGAGCATGTCTAGAGGGGTTATTTATGGTAACTGAGGAGAGAAGACCTGTCCTATATGTAACAGTTACTGTTCCATGGGCTAGAGTCCCAGACTGCATACTAAGGGTGAAGACAGCTGAGGACCAACATTTATCATCCTTTGCTTCCTGATTGCAGGTGGCGCCCTTCCTGCCACTGTGAAGGACTGTATGGATGAGCCAAAGTCACCATAAATTGCCTTTGCCTAAAGTTTGTCACAACACAGGACAAGTCATTAATGCCCACAGTACCTACGAAAAGCCTACCTGTTTGAGAAGATTAACCTTATTCTTGCCCTGTATACTTTGCAGTTTAGGGTTTGTACTTTCTTTGAAATTCTTAAGGTATAAAGTCTGATTCTCCTATTACTTTGCCCTAGTACCTGCTTTTTAAATCTTATTTTTCTTTCCTTTTATCAAAAGGTGGCCATTGGTGGCAGGTTTTTTTTTTTAATCACCCAACTTCAAGCCATATTTTCTGATGTTTCACTTTAATTTCCATGGTCATTTGTAGCTATAACCCAGTACCAGGGAAGGTAATAAATTTGGACCCAAAGTGGGTCAGTAGGTTCCAATATAGCCTGTGATACTAAAGTCAGAATGTGCTGGACATGAAACAATGTACTCATCTCTAATACTCCTTAGATTTATCTAAAATAAAGAAGTTACCCATTTTCATTAGTCTACCAGTTGAGTGTTTGGGGATGGGGGTCAAGTAATTATTCTTTGGTATAGAGGCCCTGGGAGGCAATAGCTTCTAGGTAAATCTCAAAATGCATGAGCTAATTCTTATACAAAAATTATCTTGCTCACACTGTTCAGACTCTTCTCCTCTAATATCAAATACATTCTACTTTTATTAAGTTTTATCTAAATAAAGAGGAAATAGCATTTAAAGCTGCTATCCTATTTATATCCGTCTTGTTTCTCTTCCTTGAGAGATAAATAAACTGTATGTATATTGTCTCCTCAGGACTTGGTACCTTTGTAAATTTGTTATTTACTAATTTCGGGAAATCACACTTTGTTATTTCACTGGTTATAAATTAAATAAGCAGTCATTAGAAGATTAAAAGCAAATGCTTTAGTGTAACAAGTCACAGTGGCTCAGAGATAAGTACCGTCATATACAAAAACAGTCACATCAGGAAGCAATGGCTGCTGTCTTCAGGACTGGTACTCAACAGAGCTATGGGTACCAATTCTTTGGGAGGTCTCACGTTTGCTTCTTAACTGGATGAACGTCATGCAACCCTGCCTTGGCAAGGGTGAAACCCACAAAAAGGTAATCTTGTATGCAATTCCAGAAGCCTATTGGACCTCTTGGTATGCAAAAACTAACAACAACAAAAAGCTCCCTAAAACTAATGATGAGGAAGAGCAGGAAGATGCTGAGCTATGCAGGGTGTAGGCGATACTTGTTTACTACCTTCAAAAGAAAACCAGGCGTTTTTCACTAGAAAATGTAGTTCCCACCAAAACGGAAGAGAAAAACTGCAACCTCCTTTAAATGCCATGGCAGTTCTGTGCACTCAAAGCATGGCATGATGACAATATCTCAAGTGACATCGTCATAGGTTCATTTCTAAGAGGCTTACAAGTCTCATACCTTGTCCAAGGTGTGGCTTCCCTTATCAGCATAATATAGTAACAATACTTAGGTTTCAGATTCTTAGAAAGACTTCACATGTGGAGACTTTAAACATGTACCCATCACTTGCTAATTGCTGTGTTATTGAGAAAGCAAACATAAAATGTCCCCTTCCTCAAAGACTTGATGGTCTTTGTGCATGCAGCGCCTTCACACAAGTGTTTTGCAGATTTTAAGATCTCTCGAAGAATAAAATTATCATGCATTAGAAAATGGGGAGATTTGTTCATGAGGGCAGTGGCAAGGGGTGTGTGTGACGCAGTGGGCTGTATTATATCACTTACACTATTAACGAAGTCGGGGATTAATCTGATCATTTCCCATTGATTTTCTCAAGCATCGACACAGTAGTTGATTGGCATGTGTTTCTCTTTTCTTTCTACCCTGATGCTAAGGGGAATGTCTGTGCTACGAAGGTTACATGAAGGATCCTGTCCACAAGCATCTTTGCATTCGGAACGAATGGGGAACAAACCAGGGGTAAGTGAGACAGCAAGTCGGCAGTTTCTATGTCACTGCTTTGTCTCGCAGGCACGATGGGAGTAACTGTGCACAAAGAAGTAGACTTCATGGGTGCTTGAATTCTGACCAGTCTGTAGTAAAAATGTCACTGTGCCTTTCCATAGTCATGTCATGCCGATGACGTCCATGCCATATATTCCTCCATTTATGAATCAGGCGATGCTGCCTCTGACTCGCAGCCCTGCAGCCTCCAGCTGGGATCTGAAAATGAAACTGCCTTTCTCTTGCTTTCCACTCCACCTCCATCCATGAGAATTCCACAGGCAGAACTTAGCTGCTGATTTTTTTGGAGACACGTGAAGCCATGCAGATTCTGCTGTAGTTCTCTTGGAGCTTGATGAGTCCTTTGCGAGACTAACAGGCCTCAAAACATGTTGCCGCCAGCACTGCCAGCAGGTGTGACATATGAGACTCAGGAAGTGCTCTGTGTTGATGAAGAGTATTTGCGCCTGGTCCCCAGTTGCCATTTCTTTGTATGACTTTCACGTTCTTGCAACTACATGTGACTGGGGAAAAGTAGCTACTTTATCTATTGCCTATTATTATTATTATTTATATTTTGACTGTTTTATTGTAATAAAACATACATGTCATAAATTTACCAAGTTAATAGGTTTTAAGTCTATGATACAATGAAATTAAGTAAACAAATATCATTAGAGAACCATCACCAGTGTATGGCTTGTATTGTCACTTTTAAAAGGAATTTTTGTGACTTGTTTTGAATTCTGAGAGTTTGCTTTCTGCACTTGGTAAATGGTAGGAAGGATTAATAAATGCTATCTATTAATAGCAATCAGTGGACTAGGGAGAATCAGAAGAAAATCGAGGCAAAACTTGTTGGTAAGTGATTTCCTAGACTGAAAATCCCGTGTTTGCAGCCTGACAAAGTGAAAAAAAATTAACCAATGTTATTGCTGACATTCCCATAGAGACTCTCACCCCTGGGTCCATGATCAACCCCTTCTATGTGATTCTGATGAACCAAACCTAGACTTGCCTGTGTAGTTCTGACTTTCAAAGCAATAAATATGGTGACAAATGGGTGAGAGTTTGGAGAAGAGCAATAAAAGTGATTGAGGAGCCCGAGGGAGTGATTTATGATAAGGGGAGAGAAGAACTCAGCTCCGATGACTTAGCCAGCCAATGACTAGTCAAGGTTTGATAGATGCCCATAGACATGGAAGAGGCCAAATGTTCTGGAACTGGGTGAAGTTGAGGGATGAGAACAAGAGTCAATGAAGTTAGGAAAAGGAAATCTGAGTCACAGGTCAGAAAAGCTAGGGAAGTCAACATAGTCTTGTGTTAGTGAGAATAACAATTCTTGTGTTAGTGAAAATAAAGAATGGTTTAATGGGAATGGAATCTGTGCTCTCAGCAGATAGGCAGCCCACAGGATTTAAAAAAAAAAAGTGTTTGGTGAGAGAGTAGAGGACTTGACTAATAGATGTCAAGTGAGGTATGATATAGAACGACAGTCACTATTTAAATTCTTCATTGCTCCCTGACTCTCATCGCTGCCGACTGGTTCTCACAGTTACTGTGGAGCCTACCCTTTAGCTTATGTGATGGCCGAGAATCTCAGCTGACCACAATTCTTACCGAGGAAATTGTTGTAAAAGGTGATGGATAACCACCTCTCTATCTCATAGCCTGCAATCTTGCCACTGAAGAAAACAACTACAAAATATCATTTCACGTTTGCTCTAAATGATCCAGCCTAGCCCTCTGCAGTGATTGGATTTGGTGGTTAATCGCTCAAGCCTCCCCATCCCTAGCCTGGCAGACATAGCGTGTGAGGATGGGCCTGACTTCACTTGGTAATTGCAAAGCCTTTGTTATTCCCTGTGGCTGAATGTAGAGACAGTCTTAGGATGCAGACAAGAGCCCCGGGGGAAATGGTAGAGGTCCCAGCACTGGTGTCATTTGGAACAAGACAGACTAAAGCACTGAGCTGCAGACTGACAAGAACATTAGCCCCAGGAAATAGACAAAGACACCTAATCTGTCATTTCCATCTCTAATTTCCATTATTCTATGATCTTCACTGTCTATGAGGTCTCATTGTGGACACTAATAAAATCATAGAATAACTATTAGGAGGAAAGAGAGGAGTGAGTATCTTGAGGACATTGGAACAGAAGTGATAAGCAGCTCGAGTTTATATTTATAAAACAATGCCAGACAAATGGATGCATTTTTTTTCTCCTGAAATAAAAAGATAAGTGAAAAGTAGAAGATGCCATGCATCATGATTTAAATCAGGGTACTGAACAAATGCCGTGTTTCTTTAGATGATTTTCCAAAAATTGTTTGAGATTGGTTTGAATATAAAGAATGCCACTTGAGTTGAAAACTGACAGATTTCCAAATAATGATACATATTGGAGCGCTATGGGAAAAAATCAATGATAGAGCTTATTTTCCTAGAATTTTTATTTAATGTTCTAGACAGTGAAGGTGAGTAGCCAATATACGGGGTACTGATATTTCCCTGCAAACATTCTGATAGGACCTATGTTAAGACTGAAGTGGGTTCATTCTAGGCAGAGATACCAAATTCAGGTCTGGCAATAGTCTTTAGTGAGAAATTAAGGTTGATATGCCAGGGAAAAGTGGCAGAAAGGCATTTGTGCCTTTCAGACAAGGAAGAATGTCGATAAAGGACATTCACACAAAAAGTTACAAATGGATGCTTCTGTAAAGCAGAGAAGTTGCAGCTGAAACTTTATACAGCTGCAGGCTGCCTCTAATTCATACAGTTGTGTGTGTGTGTATGTGTGTTATGTGTGGTGTATATGTGTGTGTCTCTCTCTGTGCGTGTGTTTTTGTGTAAATATGTAATGTCTGTATGATAGTACAGTGTGTGAGTATGTGTGCACGAATGACAATTTGTTTATAGAATGACTCTCTCGTCTCTGTGTTCTATCATTTACTCTTCGGTTTAATCATGTTTTCAGCAAATGTTGACCTCATTACTCTTCAGGTCTGCCTAAGAACAAGGTGGAGTTTATGTTCCGGGAGAACTAACAGTCCCCATAGAAAGATGGGCATATAATGAACAATTGCAATGAGCTCCAAGACCTATATCAAAAGAAAGATTTCGAGTAAAGGTCAATGAGAGCATCCTTAAGGGGTGACTTAGGTAAGGTTGAAGAACTGGAATAGAAGTTTCATGGAGAACGTTTTAGCTGTTCTATTTGATAGGTAGGGACACGAGAAGCCTGAATTTCCAGGAATGGTAGAGAAGTAGCTCCATTTAGTTTAAAAGTGTCTTGCACATGGCCAGGAGAGAAAGCTAAAATGGGTAAGAGTTAGCTCTCAAAAGAGGTCTTGCTTACTAAAGCTTCAGGCACTAAAACCCATTTACAGGATCCTAGACCTGTTAATAGAGAGTAGGTCCTTAAAGGAGTTGTATATCCTCTTCCTACACAAGTAATTTGAGAACCCTTTATGATGAACTCAAATAACTGTACACACACACACACACACACAAATACACACACACAAATACACAAAAAAAATACACACACACAAATATACACACACAAATACACACACACAAATACACACACACAAACACACACAAATACACAAGCTCAAAACCTATTGATATCGTCTGCCTTTTATTTATCTAGATTCTTCAAGAAAAAATATATTCTTGAAACTGTCCCAAAGACAAACAGAAAAGAGTATCCAAGAATTAGAAAAAGCCTATTGTCTAAAGTCTATTAATGACTTGCATTGCAATAATCCTGGTGTCTCAGTCCTGCCAACAATGCCCAGGAAATAGCTAGCAAGTTGGGACGTTCATGTATTGATTTGCTCAGTAAAGTCAGCAGCTTTAGCTTGCATAGGTGAAGAGGTCCAGGTGAAAGAGGATAGGATCGTAGTATTCAGTGCATAAGAAGAAAGTTTTCACTAAAAATAAAAATTCAGGACTACGTAAGCAAAGACAGATTTCTAATAAACATGGGGTGTTTGAGGTTATATCCTTGGCCTTTGATGCTGGCAACAAAATCAAGCATTCCTGTGATAACACTCTGTATCACCAGGGAGAGAACCCCAGGTGTCCTAACCAGTGCATAGTTACTGTGTCTTTTGTCTTTCCTGTGGGAATTTCCAGGTAACTCCTTGCCCTCCCATAACTGTGGCTGCATGACACAGCCAGCGCCTCTTAGTCTGCATTTGATAGTTGTTTGCCAGAATGGCAAAGACAAATTGAAAATGTTCACAGACAAGAAATGAAAACAATAAATGAGGGTGAAAGAAGCAGGAGAGATTGATTTACATGAGAATATCAGAGGAAAAAAGAGACACCCAAATTTATTTAGATACTTCGGAGTTATTAAGAAAGACCATAATAATGGCTTTTTGTTAAATTAAAAGTGTACTCAAGGGCCTCTAGATACATCTTTCAGAACACCACAATTAGATTAAACTCATGCTTTTGGAGATTCCTGGTAAATAATAGTCTGATTACTTATTCTGGCATCTCAGCTGCAGAGGGCAACACCAAGGAGATTCTCCAATAGAGAAATATAAACTAGCATTGGGCTTTAACGCTGAAGGGTAAAGACAGTGATAACTCATGAGGTTGGGCAAGGCCTGCTGAGAGAAATGAGCAGGTGTTTTCCCGAGGATTTAAAAGCTGTTGTCAGGCATGACCCTGGTGGCAGAGTGCCTCCTCTCCCCATGGCTGCCCAGAGAGATGACACCTCTCACAGGACATCCTCAGATACTGACTCAATAACTCATATATGGTCCACACTGCCTTGAGATGGCCTTGTCATTATCCCAGATGCTTACGTTCTTCCGTTTCCGCAATGAATTCATTCTTATTTATCCAGTGGTTACTGCTTAGGCAGGAAATACAATCTGATATAGACCAGTGTCCTACAAAACCCCACAAAATCGTGTGTGTGTGTGTGTGTGTGTACTTGTATGGATACATTGTA